TAACAGTTTGTCTCCTTTTCTTAGGAGGTTTCAAACACCTTGTGTAATATTGCAGAAGACCTTTTGGCCTTAAAAACAAAAGGCACACCAATTCTTAATGCTTTCAAGTTGTTGTTGTTGTTGTTGTTATTATTATTATTATTATTATTATTATTATTATTATTATTATTATTATTGTTATTATTATTATTATTATTATTATTAAATTGTTTGCCTTGATGGTCCAATATTCTATGTTTGCTAGCTATAATTACAATCAGAAATTCACGAGTCACACAATCTCAGTCAAAATAAGGCTAAGTATATATTTGGTAGAATTAGGAGTTTTATGTTCTTGAAATTTCAAAGTGATGTTAATTGATCTAATGACAGAAAACCAGGACAATGAAGCTTGAAATTAAGTTTTAATTATCTACTAGGAAGTATTTTGATATTTGAGCTAAACTCCAATATTTAATCAAGGATTGAAATTTCAACTTAATCCAAATTTTAATATGAATCCTTTTTCTTCAGTCTTGAAATTTAAGCCTTTTAAGCCAAAATATGAGCTTGGATAGAACACTACGTATTATGGTGTATCATTCATATTTTATATGGTAGACATGCACATATATAACACATTAAACCACATATGCAATAAGATCTTTGATTGTATCGGCTTCACAAAATTGAAATTGATCCAAATTCAGGCCTTCCTCATGATCAAAATCAAGTTGAACCTCAGTTCGCTATCGAATTTATTGCAGCCTTAATGCAAAGTAGATATATTCGAGGAGCACCACATTTAGATTTGATCAGTACTTTACAACAATTATTGAGATTTATCTGAAGCAACCATACAGAGAGCAAGGGCTTCACCAGAGCCTCTTTTTCTTTTTATTTAATTTCATTAACAGATGTACCATGAATATCAACATAACAAAGTTTTGGCTTTTATAAGCTCTTAGGTCTGTCCAGGTAATTCATTTTATCGGCTTTCTCTATCACACAAGATCTAGGTTACAGTAGACCACAATTTCACCAGAAACAGATTAGACAATGCCAATAATAAGCTGTTAATTGATAATAAATGGCTTTCAAAATGTTTCACGTTCTTGCTCATAATAAAAAGAAATTTATAGGCAGAATCATCCTCAAAGCCAGTTAAATAACCAGAAAGCCACATTAACAACAAACTATTGACGAAACAAACAAGACTTGCTCTTTCAAAATCTATTAAGACAAGTTACTCTGTCGCCATTCTTGTAGTTTGGTTTTGCGAATTCAGAATATCAAAAAATATGAATTAAATGAAGGAAAAATTGTCAAATGTGTCTGGCACCATCAAATTAAGTTAATTAAAAACTCCAAATCAAATTAGATCACACAGTCAAGTCAGATGTAAATCTTGAAAATATTATCCTCTCAGTTGCAATGTAAATGGACCAAATTCAAGTCAGATCTGAATTTCTATTCACCAGTTGTTACATCTAAATATACTTTAAGCACAATAATACATATTTGATGATACAACATAAGAACAACAAATATGCAAAAAATAGTAGACATTTCATAGAAATTTCTTTAGCTCGAGAAATTTTAAATAATTCCCCAATTTGAATGAATTTATATCAAGAAAAAGGCGCTAGGAATTCATGTATAGACCATTATTTTAGTAATCTATCAATTTAATTTTAATTATATCCTAAACAGTAATTCCTCATCGTTCTCTTCAAGTATACAGACAGATATTACATAATGTAAATTCAAAATAATCACAATAAATATATAACGAAATAGAGTACATGGAATTGGAAACATTACTAAGTTGCGCAAGCTTCATCTTCACGAGGTCCGATTCGAAGGTCGAACTGATATCTGAACAGGAATGGCCCGTCCCGTCCCAGTGCCACCGCAGCTATTGCAAGCCATCCGACCCGATCCGGCACAAGTCCGACACCCAACATCACCATCCGACCAGCGAGTACACGTGCACGTAACCCGACCCGTACCGTTACAACTGGGACATCTGGGCAGTCCGCCCGGACCCCCCATTGAATTATTCTTCAACACAGACTTCACCAAAACCGCCCCAGCCAAAACGCTCAAACCCGTCGCCAACTGAGTCAACACTATCGGACCCATTGCTGTTTCAATTCCTTTTTCCCCGGAAATAGTAATCTGCAGATGACAGAAAATATAGGAAGATTTTTTTGGTATTTTTTATTTATATATATTTTTTCAAAATTGTGTGTTTGTGGGTGTTTTATATATCAAGTGGTGGCGGAATGGAACACGTAATTGTGCTTACAAGTTAGTGGTGTTGGAACGACGGATATTTGGAGCGTACTGAGGAATTGGAATAGGATTTCTTTGGTGGAGTTTTTTGTTGGGTTGTGCAGCTTCTGCGGCCATTTGCATTTGCTTTAAACTTCTGACGGAGATTTGCTTTTCTTTATTTGCTTCTTAGATTTGAGAATTGATTTTTTTATGATTAAAATGAAAAATGGGTCATGTGTGAGAAAATAAATCAAATAAATCAAAAAAGACAATTGATTTATTTTCTCAATTATCTTTTTTGATTTATGGTCCAAAATTTTTCTTGGAAAGAAAAATTAATATCAAACATGCAATTAGTCTTATTTATTTTGTTGAAGTCACATTTAAAAGATGTGAAATTATACACTCTCGGTCTATTTAATAATTTAAATTTTAAATTAAATGGTTTGATATAATATAAGAAGTTCCAAGTCTCGGTCTAACATGCTTGTCAGTGAGATTGTGCACGTGTGATAAATTAAGCTTTGAAACAGAAAAATGAACAATATTCATATGTGAAGGAGAATATTAAAGACAATATTTAGATCAAATTGTTCTAATTTTTTCCACTCAAATTCTTACTTTTGTAATGTTTGATTGACATTTTTTTTATGAAAAATATTTTCCTACTTTTGATTACGTGATCATATTTTTTTCAAAATCAAGAAAAATATTTTCTTTAGAGAGAGTAAGATTTTATTTTTCAAGAAATCCATTCTCTTTCTCTCTTGCATCTATCCACTATCTCTCATCTACCCACCAATAAAAATCGAACAAGTATAATATTTTATAGAATGAAAATTAAATTAATCAAATACATTTAATTGACAAATTCCATGCAAATAAGTTCTAGACAATTAAATTACCTAAAATTTATTTTGTTTTCATGCAAATTCCATGGAACTTGCATAGAAAGAAAATGTTTTATACTTAATTTAATTGCCAAGAAATTATTTTCCAAAAAATTATTAATTACATGTGTTTGATTGACTTAATTTTCCACTCGAAAAATGTTGCAATTTTTCATTTTTTGGTGTTTAATAGCCATTATTTTTCATGAAAATGATCATTTTTTTT